GTTGTTTTTTTTTACATCACAATACTGGTTACAAAGTTGTTTTCATTTTCCAACTCTTCCTATTTCAGATCGTACCCATTTTTCTAGACCTCCATAAAATCTAATGTGATTATTCCCCCTCGACCCACCCTAGAAGTAATTTATCTTTTTTCCCATACTCCTTATGTTGTGTACTTCTCATACTGCACTGTAGTATAGCTATATATCTGGATGGACATTTGCAATTCTTTTTAGCTGCCCAGCATCCAACATACTCTTCAACATTTAGGAAATTCCCTACCTTTTGAGTCTCTGTGGAAAGCTGAACCAGCCTCCCTCTATAGAAGCTGAACATGCCAGATTCTTGCTTTCTCAGCTTCGCTTTCAGGTAAGGCTCAATAAATACATGTTGAACTGAATTTTTCAATTATTTAAATATTTTAAAATGTTGGTATATAATTCCTTCAGATGAGAAGAATATTTATTCAAATAAATATATTCAAGATCTGTTTACTGAAAATGCAAATCTTAATTTTGACTAACAGAAGGTTATATGTAAAAAATATGTACGTATTTTTCTGAATTAGAAGTGTTTTATCCATTAGTATTTGAGTATTTATTTTAGCCCTTGGTTCAGAATACAAATATACATGAAACCAAAATCAGTTGCCGTGGAGTTGGACTTGAACTCATGGCAACCCTATATGTATCAGAGTAGAACTGTGCTCCATAGAGTTTTTAATGACTAATTTTTTAGAAGAAGATCACCAGTCCTTTGTTCTGAAGTGCTTTGGGTGAGCGTGAATAAGTGCTAACTATTTGCACCACCCAGAGACCCCATATATATATATACACAGACATTGACAATAGGTTTTGTAAAATTGGTATAGAGGGGCCAGAATGCCAACAGTTTGTAGAAGTCTGCTAACCTTTGTATTCTGAGAAAGGTATTTGAAACATAGTAAGTGTTCAATTAATATTTGTTGAATAAAAGAGCCCACTTTATCTAGGAAAAGATATTCTATAATTTCCTTCACAAACCAAACTACACTGAGTGTAGCCTAAGCTTATCATATGGTAACCATTCTGTCATGGATTGAATTGTGCCCCCCAAAAAATATCTGTCAACTTGGCTAGGTCATGATTCCCAGTACTGTATGATTGTCTACCATTTTATCATCTGATGTGATTTCCCTTCATGTTGTAAATCTTATCCCTGTGGTGTTAATGAGATGGATTATTGGCAGTTGCATCGATGAGATCTACAAGATTAGATAGTGTCTTAAACCAATCTTTTTTGAGATATAAAAGAGAGACATGAGCAGAGAGACATAGGGACCTCATACCACCAAGAAGGCACAGCAACGGGAGCAGAGCGCATCCTTTGGACCTGGGCTTCCTGCACGGAGAAGCTCCTAGTCCAGGGGAAGATTGATGACAAGGACCTTTCTCCATAGCTGATAGAAAAAGCCTTCCCCTGGAGCTGACACCCTGAATTTGGACTTGTAGCCTACTAGACTGTGAGAGAATAAATTTCTCTTTGTTAAAGCCATCCATTTGTGGTATTTCTGTTATAGCAGCACTAGATAACTAAAACACATTCTGTGCCTCCTATATTTCTAAAAAAAATTCTTATATGGTTACAAAGAGGGAATGGGTATATTGAAGCCAGTTGGCTGAGGGATTAATTTCCTCTATCTGCATCATTTCTTCCTCAACACATAAAATGTGATTGCAAAGCAGTTAGTCAAAAATAGAAGAAAATCATAGAATTTCAATTTGCAGTACAAGACAATTTCAGAATTACTGATTTTCAAGTGTTCTATTGACTTCCCTGGTCAACAGTATGATTTGTTTTTTCTACTTATGGTGGCAGCAGAGCCGGTGTTTATAAATAAACAGAAACAGAATATAAAAGGCAACACTTGAGACCTAAAGTACAGTGCAGTGGTTGGACTCTGAATCATCTAGTGATGAAAAGAGCGAGTGTTAACAAATGTTGGAGAGGCTGTGGGGAGATTGGAACTTATGCACCGCTGATGGGAACGTAAAATGGTGCAACCATTTTGGAAAACAATATGGTGCTTCCTTAAAAAGTTAGAAATACTATACAATCCAGCAATTCCACTCCTAGGAATATACCCGAGCAAAATAAGAGTCGTCACACGAATAGACATGTGCACACCCATGTTCATTGAAGCATTATTCACAATAGCAAAAAGATGGAAGCATCCTAAGTGCCCATCAACAGACAAATGGATAAACAAACTATGGTACATACACACAAAGGAATACTATGCAACAATAAAGAACGATGAATCTGCAAAACATCTCACAACATGGATGAATCTAGAGGCCATTACGTTGAGTGAAATAAGTCAATCACAAAAGGACAAACACTGTATGAGACCGCTATTATAAAAACTCATGAACATGTTTACACACAGAAAGAAACGATCTTTGATGGTTACGAGGGAGGGGAGAGATGGGGAGGGAAAAGCACTAACTAGACAATACATAAGTAGTAACTTTGGTGAAGGGTAAAACAGTACACAATCCTGGGGAAGTCAGCACAACTTGACCAAGGCAAAGTCATAAAAGCTTCATAGACACAGTCAAACTCCCTGGACAACTGAGTTACTGGGCTGAGGGCTGGACACCATGGTCTCTCAGGGGACATCTAGCTCAGTTGGCATAACATAGTTTATAAAGAAAATGTTCTTCATCCGACTTTGGTGAGTAGCATCTGGGGTCTTAAAAGCTTGTGAGTGGTCATTTGAGATACATCTACTGGCCCCACCCCATATGGAGCAAAGGAGAATGAAGAAAACCAAAGAAACAAGGAAAAGATTAGTCCAAAGGACTAATGGACCACAACTACCACAGCCTCCACCAGACTGAGTCCAGAACAACTAGATGGTGTCCGGCTACCACCACCGACTGCTCTGACAGGGATCACAATAGAGGGTCCCGGACAGAGCTGGAGAATAATGTAGAACAAAATTCAAACTCACAAAAAAAGACTAGACTTACTGGTCTGACACAGACTGGAGAAATCCCAAGAGTATGGCTCCCTGACACCCTTTTAACTCAGTAGTGAAGTCACTCCTGAAGTTCACCATTTAGCTGAAGATTAGACAGGCCTATAAAACAAACAATAACACATGTAGTTCAACCATGTATACAAGACTAAATGAGCATACCAACCCAAAAGCAAAGGCAGGAAGGGACAGGAAAGCTGGATGAATGAAAATGGGGAAGCTGAGGTCAAGAAGGGGAGAGTGTTGACACATCTCGGGACTGGCAACCAATGTCACAAAACAGTTTATGTATTAATTGTTTAATGAGACACTAATGTACTCTGTAAACTTTCACCTAAAGCACAATAAAAAGAAGAAAAAGAGGGAACGCCTCCCAGGATGCTGAAGGAATCTGCAATGTGTTGCTGGGGGAAGACATATAAGTGGGAAGGAGGGAGAGGGAGAAGTCTGCCATTAGCAGGTACAACGAATTGTTGACAGGAAGTCTTTTGAACAAACCAGTACTTAGCACCTTTTTGCAAATTAGGACACAAACGACCCTACCTGAAGTAGTTGATTCTGCTCTGTTCTGGTCTCCTAATCCTCTGTTCCAGGCTCTTGTGTCCAATAGGATCTTACTACTTAAGGTGTGGTCTGAATACCAGCAGCAATCGGTATTAACCTGGGAGTTTGTTACAAATGCAGAATCTCAGAGCCCACCCCAGACCTACTGAATCAGAAACTTCATTTTAACACGATCCCTAGGTGATTCGAGTACACAGTAACCTTTGAGGACTGTAATAGGACTCCCTGCTTGTCCTATAAATCCACTGTTGTGTGCCATCGAGTCATTTCTACTCATAGCGACCCTATGTGACAGAGTAGTACTGCCCTTAGGTTTCTAGGCTATAATTTTTATGGGAGCAGATAGCCAGGTCTTCCTCAAGGCGGCTGGGCGGGTTCCAACAGCCGGCCTTTCGGTTAGCAGCGGAGCGCTTAGCTGTTTCGCCCCTTACCAGGTTGGTAGCGGGGATGGGTAGGTGGTTATTGACAGTCTATAAAGAGGGGAAAAAAGCCATGGAATGAATATCTTTTGTATCTTTTAATAAAATTGACCATTGGCCACCAGCATGACGGTACAGTTTTTCCCTTGGCTGCCATTCATTCATTCATTCAACAAATATTTGGCAGGAAGATGGGCGAGCATAATAAATAATTAACGTTTATTGAGCTCGGTTAATCTCCTGGACATCCACCAGATTATTACCCCTATTTTCTAAATGGGGAAACTGAGGAAAGAGAGAAGAGAAGCAACTTGCCCAAGATGACACTAATGGAGTGCAGTGGAGGAACACGGATTTGAACACACGGCTTTGAATGCAGAGCTCACACTCCACTACACTTCACTGCCACCCACACGGAGAGTGGCTATTCATTTCCTCTTCTCTGCAGGAGGGTTGTACAAGGTCTGACTTGCTTTAGGCGGGTGGCAGAGTTCCTCTCTCTGGACCTCTGTCATGGGCAACAGCCAGGGTCGGGGGAAACAGAAACCAACATCCAAGAGGTCACATCTTCCAGGCTCCTGGACGCAGCCGTAGGGGTAGAAGGGTAGATAGGCAACATCCCCGTTCCAGAGAAGACCTAGACTTGCCATTTCATCCGTCCCTCTATCTTGGTCCTCCCGGATTGGGAGTTGGAGGCGAAAAGAGAGCCGAGAACAGACTTCCCACAATCAAAATGGCGACCGCTCACTCCTTGCCCACAGTTGGCCGTTCGGTCTCCATGGTAACTCGTCCGGCCGCTTCGGTGCCGGTTTAGGTCCTGAGTGCAGGGAAATTGTGAGCATTTCCCGCCCCCTCCTTTTTTTGCGACAGTTGCAGCGAAAGTCACGGCAGTTGAGGCTGGTGTCAGCTGATTTACTGCGGCGGCGGCGGCGGCGGTGGCGGCGGCAACGGCTACGGCGCCTTGCAGCTTCGGCAGGGAGACGGCGGCTGGACAGCGGTGGCGGTCCCCAAGGTTTCCCACCCAGAGTGGCCCATCCCATATCCTTCTTGCATACGCCCTCGCCTTGTCCTCCTCGTTTGCTGGGGCTCCCACGGGTGGACAGACAGAAAATATCGGGCATGAGATGAGGCTGTGACAGGTAAGGGGGCTTTCGATCTTCCCCAGGGGAACCCCCGCGCGGGTTGTGCTTGTACTGCGGATCGGGGTCAAGGGTCATCAGCCCCACTCCAGCGGGGCCGCCGCGAGCTGTCAGAGCGCTGGTGCTCCAAAGCTCTGTCCCGAGCCTCGCCTGCAGGTCCAGGCCCACAGCTAGGCGCCTGTGCCAGGAGCGTGGGGATCCTGCAGGGGTCTTTGATTAGTGAATGGCATTTGCTTCTGGTGACAGTGGCTTTGATCTTGAGATGGGACCTCCTTCTCTTCAAGGGCAGTCTAAACGGGAGTGAGGTGGGTAGTGGTGATGAGTGGGTGGTTATTGACATGCTTTTGGGTCGTGCTGTGCTTGCTGTTGGAGTACACATGGTCCCTCCTTGCCTGCTGGTATTACTCTGTAGTTTGTTCTTGCCTAAAAGTGGAGTGTTATATTGCCTGCTGGCATTGAGACGTCTGTTAGAGTTTCATCTTTGAGATGCCACCTGCCAGTTCTCATCCTTTTGCCCTAGGATTTGGTCTGAGAGGATACCTGCTATTCCATTTACTAGTGGGTCTCAGCGTTCTGAAGCTATATGTTAGGAGTTAGCACTACCCTGCCTTTGATTCAGAAATCGTGCTTTATGTTTTTGATTCACTTGCTATGTCAGTTTCTCAAGTCCTAGGTAGAATTTGTAGGTTCCATATGGAAACTAACAACCACAACAATGTAGTCTGAGATTGTGGCACCTACAGTTGCATCAAAGGCTTCATTGGTATTGTTATTGCTGATTTTAGGATCTAATCAGTCACAGCTACAGCTTCCTTTCATTGTAACGTTTGCCAGCCGGCAAAAAAGACAAGCTGTAACTCTTTGGTATGTTTATCATTTACAACTTTATGGACAAGATTGCAGAAGTCCAAGATTGCAAGATTTGCCTGTTGTCTGAGGAACTGAATGAGTTTTTGAAATTTCGTTACAGAAAGTATCTAGTTTAGATCTGCTCCTTGCTTTATAAGCAAACTTGTGACAATATGGAGGTGGAGGGAGGCTTGCAAGTGAAAGTCATGTGTTGAAAATGCTTGTATTATTATGAAGAATCAAAAAACTGTCATGATTTTTTAAAAATAACATTTATTTCAAATTGGGGAAATGGTTCACTATAAATAGATAGTTAATGCCTCATTGTTAACTTTGGTTAGAGATTGTGGTAGAAGTATTCATTTGTTTATATGTGTATCTTTATTTTCTAACTGCTCCAGAGCCCTACTTAACAGCAAAACTAGGCTATATACTTTATATTTTCTTATTGCCACCTGTAGTCAAATTTTTAAAGATCTTAATGATTGATGAATCAAACGGCTTGGGCTTTGCCTTGTTTCTTGAGTATCTCTGTGGGAATTTAACTTAAACTCTGGAGTACTGAAAGAGCCCTGGTGGCACACTGGTGAACCCCTTGGCTGCTAACCAGAAGGTCTGTGGTTCAAACCCACTAGCTGCTCCGCAGGAGAAAGACGTGACAGTTGGCTTCTGTAAAGATTTACAGTCTTGGAAACCCTATGGGGCAGTTCTACTCCGTCCTATAGGATTGCTACGAATGGAATCATCTGGACAGCAGCAGGAAATGAGAAAAGTAGAATGACATTCAGCTTTAGTGGTGTGCTCTGTATTAGGTCTGAGTCCTTAAAGTTTGTTTCAGGGATTCAGTTAATCTTAGTCAATTCAGTGATTGTCATCAAGCTGTCCAAGACCTCTCTCTCATTTTTTTTTTTAAATAATTTGTTTCCTTTTATTTCCAATTCCCACTCCATTCTCCTGCCCATCAAACTATATGCAAACTTTCTGTCATAGATTGAATTGTGTTCCCCCAGAATATGTCAACTTGGCTGGGCCATGATTCCCAGTACTGTGTGATTGTCCACCATTTTGTCATCTGATGTGATTTTCCTATGTGTTGTAAATCTCTATGATGTTGATGAGATGGGATTAGTGGCAGTTATGTTAGTGAGGCAGTGTTTAATCTACAAGATTAGATTGTGCTTTAAGTCAATCTCTTTTGAGATATAAAAGAGAAAAGCAAGCAGAAAGACATGGGGAGCTCATACTACCAAGAAACTAGAGCCAGGAGAATAGCGTTTCCTTTGGATGTGGGGTCCCTGCACTGAGAAGCTGCTTGACCAGGGGGAGATTGATGACAAGGCCCTTCATCCAGAGCTGACAGAAAGACAAAGGCTTCCCCTGGAACTGATGCCCTGAATTTGAATTTGTAGCTTAATAGACTGAGAGAATAAATTTCTCTTTGTTAAAGCCATTTACTTGTGGTATTTCTGTTATAGCAGCACTAGATAACCAAGACACTTTCTAATGCACCTGATGTGTATCCTTCTGTTTGTGTGTGTTATTAAATGTATATTGTTTTGGATGCCCATATTTTTAATTTATAGAGATGATATGCTGCATATCTCATTAAAACATTTTTTCTCTCCATACTATGTTTTAAAGATCTATTCGTGTTGCTGTTCATCTTTTCTTTTAATTACTACTTCATTCTCAAAAAAATTATTGACATAGGTTCACAAATACTAATTACCACAGTATGGTAGCTAAAACACGAGAAAATTTGACAATCAGCGGCTATAAAAACACTGGCAGCAATGAAAACAATAGCGTGTACTTGTAGCCCTGCAGACGAAACCACATGATTCACAGCATTGTAGTAATTGGGAAATAATGACAGCTCTGACTGGAGCATGTTGTTGTGTGCTGTCAAGTCAATTCCAACTCATAGCGACCCTGTAGGACAGAGTAGAACTGCCCTATAGAGTTTCCAAGGAGCAGCTGGTGGATTCAGTCTGCCGACCTTTTGGTTAGCAGCCAGAGCTCTTAACCACTTTGTCACCAGGGCTCCAAAACCAAACCTGTTGCCGTTGAATCAATTCTGACTTATAGCAACTCCATTTAGAAGGTTCAGAAAGTAAGTTAGCATACAATTTTAGCCTTGTAGGTATATTGATACATGTAAGCTGGGCTTATGAAAAATATTTTTGTTGTTATAACTAACTACAAGAATATTTTTATAAAAAATAATACATTTCTGCTGAAACACTGCTCAAAAATTTTATAAATAGTCATTTTGGTGTTACACCCTCTGACAGTGTCACCTGGTGTGGTCCACACCCCCCACACCCTCCAGTGATACAGTGGTTGCAATGGTCTATACTCCTGTGGACAGTTCATAAGCATTTCTATAGCCTTGTATCCCCACCAATGCTTTGTGTAATCTAGCACCCTAATTTTTCCAGACTAATAGATACAGAGTAAAATCTCATTGTAAATTACACTTCATTGATTACTAATGAGTATTTCTTCTTGTGCATTTTATCTTTTTGAGTTTCTTCTTTTGTAAAATTGTTTCCCTAAAATTGTTCATCCCTTTAACCATTTTCATTTTGGAGTGTTAGTCCTTTTCTTGATGATTTGCAGGAATTCCTTGCATTTCCTAGATATTAGTCCTTTAGATATTACAAATATATCTGTTCCTAATCTGTTATTTGTTTATAACTTGTGTGTGTGTGTGTGTGTGTGTGTGTGTGTATGTACTTTAGGTGAAAGTTTACAGAGCCAATAAGTTTCTCATTCAAAAACTTATACACAACTTGTTTTGTGACATTGGTTGTAAATCCCACAATGTGTCAGTACTCTCCCGCTTTCCACCCTGTATTCCCCATTTCCCTTCATCCAGTTTTCCTATCCCTTGTTGCCTTTTCATCTTTACTTTTGGGCAGGTGTTGTCCATTTGGTCTTGTATACTTGACTGAGCTAAGAATCATGTTCCTCACATGTGATATTGTTTTAGAGGCCTGTCTAACCTTTGTCTGAAAGAATAACTTTGGGAGTGGCTTCAGTTCTGAGTTAGAAGGGTGTCCTGGTGGTATAGTCTCAGGGATTCCTCCAGGCTCTGACCAGTAAGTGTGGTCTTTTTTGTGAATTTGAATTATTTTCTACATTTTTCTCCCGCTCTGTCCGGGATCCTCTATTGTGACCCCTTGCATATAGCTTTTATGCTGTCGTTCAGTGAACAGAAATTTCAATTTTGATATAATCAAATTAATTATTTTGTTTCTCTTAGAGGTTATGTTTTGTGGGTTTTGTTTATAAAGTCTTTGTCCAACCTTATGACACAAAGTTACTCTCCTGTATTATGCACTACTAACTTCATAGTTTTCCTTTAAACAGAGAGGTCTTTAATATAGAGAGTCTATCTTTTGTATGTCATAAAGTAGAGATCTGTTTTTTAATTTTGAATATAGTATACCAGTTTTCCCAATGCCATTCTCTTCTTTTCCATAGATAAATGATGCCACGTTTATTATACATTAAGTTCTCATTTGTACTCTGAATGCTGTATTTTGTTCCTTTGGTTTATTTGTCTGTTCTTGCTCTAATACCATGCTGTTTTATTACTATGACTTTGTAGTGTTTTTTCCCTATATGAATCATTCTTCCCATTTATTTTGTTTTAATTTTATTTTGAAATGATTATAGATTCACAGGAATTTGCAAAAATAGTACAGAGATGTCTAGTTTCTCCCCATGGTTACATTTTATACAACTTCACTCTAAGTTTCCCTTAGTGGTTACATTTTATACAATTATAATAAAATATCAAAACCAGGAAATTGACATTGATACAGTGATTGTGTATAGTTCTATGCCATTTTTCACCTGTAGATTTGTGCAACCACCATTGCAATAGTTTCAGATCTGTTTCATCCCCACAAAGATCTCCTTCTTGTTAGACCCACCTTCCTCACCCCCCCACCATTCCCAACTCCTGGTAACCACTCATTAGTTTTCCATCTGCATAATTTTATCATTTTGAGAATGTTATATAAATGGAATCGTACACTTTGGGAGCTTTTGATATTGAGATTTATCCAGATGGTTGGATGAGACAATTCTTGAGATACACCGAAATTTTTGCATGTATCAATAGTTCAGTAGTATTCCAT